TTTAAGGTAAGGGCTAGACAATTAAATCTAGTGCCCATAGTTCCCCCAGGCCATTCAGGACTGTCACAAGGACAGCCTATCATCTTTTCAGCACGGCTCTTACACATTAGGAAGTAGATAGTAGAAGGGGTTGGAGAAGGGACGGAAATAAAAAGCTGGAGGGGGAAAAGATCATGCAAAATTAGTTGAGTCGAGGGCTGAGGCCCTAGGCAGGGGAGATCCCTGCGTTGGGTCTCAGTCTCCGTCTCTTAAGCCCCCCACGACAACAACGGGCAAGGGATTGGGGGGTCATCGCTTATAAAAATCACACTCGAAAGCTGCAATATTTACTATTTTCATAGTTTTCCTATCATTAATGTTATGGTGTTCTTTGGTTTTGATGAATAAAACATGTCTGAATAAATGCACTAATTTTGGGGAAATAAAGCTGTCAATTACTGATTTCTTAATAAGACCCGTAATCTGCAATGAAAATAAAGACATCCAAATAATAACAAAGTTAAACATCATAGTTCCATCGAAAAATTAAAAAAATTCTATGTTTTAAAAGGGGTAAATATAAATAAATTGTACCAATTATTTGATCATGTATCAATAGGGATCATCTATACACTATTAGTTATATTCAACACAATATTCAACTATTCCTAACGTATATTTAAAAAATCAGGAATCCATAATCACCTCAGAAAGAGTGTTGTGATGACTTTAACTGTATAGAAAATGGAGGGCATTCCCGTTTTCGTATTGTGCGCGCGCATAATACGAAAGAGACGATAGTCATTACGAGGACAAATCTCTTAGAATAATAGCTATTGCTACTTTTGGTAGACCGGGGAATTTGATTCAAATTATACATTGTAATTAGTAAATCTATCTCTACTTTCGTGACGGTGGCAGCACCTCATATTTTCTTATTTGTAAATGAATTGCATTTATATAATGTACTCTATTAAAATCACAATATTCAAATTACATAATTTCAAACATTTCCCAAATCTCTATCAATGGATCTTTCTCATAGTCTGATCTCATGGTTATAGGGCGCTTTTTAAGGAAAATATTGCAATTTCAATTTTGGGGAGAAATCCTTTTTTTTGTATAACTATCGGAATAGAATTAATTTTAAATCAGTTGTGTTGCCACCTACTTTAAAGTAAGCATTGATTGTTCACATATAAATGTATTTTTGTCATAAAGAATACTGCAAAATGCATTTCTTATGTTCTAGTCAAGTAATTGCATGCACGTGTAACAAGAAGAAATATTCAAAACTGCTGATTATTTTACTCCGAAAATTCAGAAAATGCATGTGGTTTCAGAGCATAAAAGGGTTAAATATAACGAGGAATTGCTATCTTAAATCTACATTTTATACAATAATTAATGCAAAACCTGAGGCGACATCCTTAATAGTAATTCCTTGTATTGCGTTAGTATTATTACTGGTATCATATAAATCTATCCAGAAACTAAAATAACATTATCATCATTGCAAATCATTTATTTACGTTATCAAAATTTAAAAAATATCTTAAAATTATAAAAAATAAAGAACAGGGATTAACACACTTGTTAAAAAAAGGGAGATTTGACCTGATGAACTAAGTGTTAACTGAACTACAATTAAAGTAAGAGTATAACACTTATATGCATAAAATGTAATTACTGAAGTTAGTAGTAATATAACAAATACAAATGAAACAAAACACATGTTTGAAAAAGACCTATACGTAAATATAAAGAAAATAAGAATCTCAAGTTTCGAAACTTAAAAGTCAAAATGACGAATCAGATTTTTCATTTCGACCCTGTTTTTTGTAAATTTTTGAAGTAACCGACTTAGGAAAAAGTGCTTCCTACAAGCACTAGATATTTTATTCTGCTACAAAATGAGCCATAAAACATTTACTTCGGACTAAAATTGCATTCGCTAGGCTTTTTGAAATCTAAATAAGTATGTATCGAGATATCAGCATTTTTATGTTTTCGTAACTTTTCATAACTGTTTTGGCATCAACAAAATTAGAATAATCCTTCTATAACATAATCCTCTATCATTTACCTGCATTCCGAAGTATTGCAGATATTCCTAGCAAGTAACAGTATCTCACTAAGCGACACCAGTGAAATCAAGATACTCTACTACGATAAGAGAATTAGAAGAAACATAGTAGACAATAGTGAAAAAATCACTAGACGGACACTTGTTCAAATGTAAGCACAAAATCACTGTACATGTTGGAACACATTGGTATGCACACAGGGAAAAGAAAAAAATTGCACTTGGTGTACTTAAGTTTTTGTTTCGAAGATCAGAGGCGTAAAGCAGCTTTATCTTGTTGGAGGCTCATAGATCCTGGTGCTAGCTTGAAAGAAGCAACATCTGCTCACACCAGTTTCGCCAGGATTGTGATATGGTCATCCACCGCTGGTACCAGTTTGTCAGGAGTGTCTACTCAACACCCCATAGCTGTTACCATTCTGTATAGATATGCACGATTTCGCTGTCTTTATTGAAGATGGTACCGTGAACGAAAGTTGAAGAGGACTTGCGTCGCCGCGCAGAGCCCTGGGTGGTGGCCCCCCAAGAAGGCAGCATCTGAACAGGATCATGACTCCCAGTAGAATGTGTGGGTCAAGGAGAAGGTCAGAGTTCAAGTGCATGTGCAACCCAAGTCAGCACAGAGGCAATGCCATGGGCATGACCCTCACGGGTCACTCCTGTGACTAGTGAGAGATAGAGAGGCCTCTGAACAAGTTTTGAGCTGTCACTACAAGATTTTATTCAAGTGAAAATGTATAATTCTTAGGCCCTAAATATGCTGTAGCTTAGGCAAGTTTCACATTGGTGTGTTGCATTGTCATTTATGGCTGTATGATGGTTTTCAGATTGTACCCCCCCCCCCCAATGAAAATATAAAATACCGTGTTAAAGATGTTGACATCATTTGATTATACTTATCTACAAATCCGATTGGCAGTTAAACAGGCTGTCGAGTTATATGTGAGTCTCAGAAAAAAACAACATGAGAAGCCTCAATTGGTGACATCAAAGCAGGTAACAGGCAGCAAATTAATATAGAAAAAAGAAGGCATGGGGAAAAGAGAAAATGTACATAGAATGAATGCAAAGATAGAGACAAGAAGGAATGGATGAATGGAGAGAGAGAGAGAGAGAGAGAGAGAGAGAGAGAGAGAGAGAGAGAGAGAGAGAGAGAGAGAGAGAGAGAGAGAGAGAGAGAGAGAGAGAGAGAGAGAGGGGGGGGAGGGAGGGGGGGGGCTGTGTACACGCTCTAGCCCTTGAGTAGATTGAGGTGTAGAACAGTTTCACCGCAACCTTTGGGCCTGGCAGCGGCATTCCTGCTGACCAATCAGGAAGCTGTGACAATATATTAACGAGTGTAATCCTTCCAACGAGGATCATAATAAATTTCCATTTATATTTTGAATTTCCAATTAAATAGTCTGTACGTACCAATAAAACTGATGCCTTATTGAAGTTTACTCCTGACACATAGCACTTGCAACAAAGCTGCAAGACACTCCTGCCAGATCAGGTTGATTTCAGTAAATGTACATGAAAGAGCTTGTATTTGTGTAATAATAATTGGCTATCACCCATTACATTTCTTATATTACACGGTACTGTTGATAACGAGAAGTTTGAAAAAACGAAAATAAGGCAGTTACCACCATTACCGCATACCATGCAAATGAGATGATGTAGCCTAGTCTTAAGATTAAGATGCCTGTAAATTATTTATTAGCCAGTAAAACGTCTGTTAGGTGTTAATGCAAGTGCAATTGGCTATCACCTGCATATACATTTCTTATATTCACGGTAACTGTGATAACGAGAAGTTTGAAAAAACAATTAAGCAGTTACCACGCATTCCCCGCATACCATCAAATGAGAGATGTAGCCTAGTCTTAAGATTAAGATGCCTGTAAAATTATTTATTAGCCCAGAATAACGCTTGTTAGGATTTTTGGCAAGTGCCATTGCTTTCTATCTCTTTCTTCTCTCCTCCCCCTCCTCCTTTCTATACCTTCTCATCTGTCTCTCTATCCTCCTCCCCTTCTCTATCTTTCTTTCTCTTTCTCTCTCTCTCTATCTCCTTCTCCCCCTCCTTCACCCCCTCTCCCTCTTTCCTCGTAATCAAATAGTGCCTATATTTTGAGTAGGATAATGTACATTTATAATTAGGATAATGACATATCGAAACTGAACGTATTGATTTTTTAGGTGGTACAATCTGAGAACCATCACACTAGTACCACAATCATAGATGACAATGCAACACACCGCAATGTGAAACTTGACAATGTTATATACTCTGGAACAGTAGAGTTAGGGCCGACGAATGATACATTTGTCCAACATCCTGATGAAGGAGATAATTTTCATATAGCTTTGCCATATCATTTGTCATAAGATTTACAGCCAGCATATACTAACTACAGTACAACTAACCGAACATACCAAGTACTCATATACAAGGCGTCTCGATTGTTGATAAAGTGTCGAAAAAATATGCCTTCAACGCACTTCGCTGTTTGAAGCATGGGCATTAAAAATCACTAGTAAGAAGGGATGTAAAGGATTTACAGCCTAATTCATCCCATCTTGCAGTACGGCACAACCATAAAATGACTGGAAAGTTTATAGAGTAGATTCAATTTGAAGGTAGTCAACAAATAAAAGAATTCGGAGATACATCTACCACATGGTTTTTAAAGGATTGGTGTAAATATGGTAAATAACAACAGTTTGACAATTAGGACAAGTTAAAACGACATGAGCATTCATAATGTTTACTTTCATCACTATACATATAAAATGTAAATTTAATGTCTAGTAAATGTAATCTTTTCCATAACAGTCTTATTATGACTGATTAAATATCCTTTTCTTTTGGAGCTACAACTTACCATTTACCTATATAACCAAATATATCTTAATATGTACAATTCAAAAGTTATTTATCACTCCTCACCTGTAAGGTTGACTGTGTAAAAGACCTTCTTCCTGTAGTGACTTTAATGATACACTGAACTCTGCTTCTCTCTTACTTCCTGGATCAATCTGTTGAAATACTTCGTTATTACAAATGTTTACATCTTTCACAGTTTTTATTTGCATTTCTTTCTTTAATGGAAACAATGATTCTAAATATGTTAATGATAGAATAACATAGAGAAACTCAAGACAAAACATTTACACTCTGTATTACCATTATTCCCTTGTTATCTTGATGCATGGTGTAAAAAAAAGAAAAAAAATATTCAGCATGCCTCACCTTCTCCCTATACAAATTTCCCTCCCTAACATTTTCACCCCTTTCTCCCCAAACCTTAATGTGCATGTCAAAAAATACTTAGCATGCCTCAGCATACATGACCAGGTCATTGTTGGCTTATTTACCTTTGGAATCAAGTATTTACACCGTTATCTATACATGACAACTATTAAGAGCCAATTCTTTGATAATATTCGCTCTAACTGTTGTTCCATTTTTTATTACAAATAAATGTATTTTCATTATTAGTATTGCCATAGCTATTATTATCTCCCTCCCTCTATCTACCTATCTCTCCCTCCCTCCCTTTTTTCTATTTTCTTTCTCTCTCACTATATAGCTCCCCCGCTCCCTCGCTTTCTCTCTTTTTGACTCCATATCATGTTTAAAAGTCCATGTCCTAAGCGAGTTGTCTTCATGGTTCTAATAACCCAAGCCAAGCTCTCCGTGCGATATCTGCTTCCCTAGCGTGGGTCACGACCGGCCAATATAAGGGCCCGACTCGACGTGAATCAGCGGCGGCCAGACAGGCAGAGACAGAGAAGAGGATGGCCAGGTTACCGTCAAGACCTCCTGCGTCGGGCCATCCCCAGGGCTGGCCGGGTGCAAGGTCTATATAAGTAAGGTCTAGTACATAATTTTTAGGTCCTATCGCACTCGCACTTTTTCCGTCAATTTTTGCGTTTCGTATGAATTTGAGGCTTTCCTCAAGTATCGTTTGTAAACGGAACACCCGCCAGACGAAGACGGTTACGACCGTTTCCGTCTGACTAATTTCCGTGCTACGAAGGATGTATACAGCCAGATTTTTTTGTTTTTTTTTGTGAATTAGATAGAATTAGTAAATGTAAACATAAGCTAATATTTTGGAGCATTCGTATATACAACATAAACTATCATATGTCTTTAAAATAACGAAATATGTATGAGAATGTTCGTGTGGTTCCCAGCAAGGTCTATATAAGTACAGGTCTCGTCACTAAGGGACTCAAATTCGTCCGTCTCGCGCATGACGTCATCTGGAGCAGAGCCTGGGGGTTCCACGCTAATCGCGTGGTCATTCTTTGATGTGAGGTAGAGCCGTAAGGATCTCTCCCTCTCTCCGTTTTCGCTCGCTTGACTGACTGGCGCGCGCAGTCACAATACCCAGTGGTTGGTTGCAGCTTATATATGTACATTTATGTGTATGTTTATGTATTGCCATTATTATTATTATTATTATTATTATTATTATTATCATCATTATTATTGTTATTGTTGTATGATTGGTTTTATAATAAATTCATCAAAAACATTTGGAGTTTACATATGCCATGTCTTTTTTATTTATTTTACATCTTTATTATGCCATGTCTAAGCTGCAACATATGAATTACAAAACTAAATTCACGTAGAATATATGATATAGGCCTACAAACAATCGCTGATAATCATCGCCTGCAAAACATGTCCAATAAGCAAATCGTTCAACGTGCCGACATCTGAAATTACTCAAGTATCTGCTCATTTACTACCATTTTCTATTATCTATGTCCCTGCCTACCATGCTCTAATTCCCCCCGCCCCCCTTGCTCTCAGCTCCTTCCAGGTGACGTCATAGGCCTTATCACCCAAAGCTGCGCAGAACTCCGAAGTGACGAGACCTGTACTTATATAGACCTTGGTTCCCAGGACTTCACCCCGATTGCGCCATGATTGTTAACACTGGCAATGTTTGCTGCCTTGTGATAGGGTCAGTCGATTTCCATAAGGAAAGTTCAGTCAGAAACGCAAAAATTGATGGAAAAAATAAGTGTGATAAGGCATGATGCATGACATCACACGGCAGTTAAGCCTGGGGGTTCGACGCTAATCGTGGGGTCATTCTTGGATGTAACGTAGAGCCGTAAAGATCTCCCTCTCTCCCGTCTTACTCGTTTGGGTGACTAGTGCGCGCAAAGCCGCAATGCCCTGTGAAGGTACGGTCACATTACCCATAAATTTCACTGGAGTCCAGCGATTTCCTGAGGACTGGAACGAACCCATCCATCAGTAGTGTTCACACTGCGAAAAGAACCGGGAAAGGCTAGGTCAGTAGCAACTCGAGGTGTCATTGCGTCTGATTTTGAAGTCACAAAGTTGTGATTCTGTTTTTGGAAAAAGCACATCAGGTTTATTATTCATTTTGGTCTTTTCAGTTTTCAAAAAGGATGGAAAATAATTATTTAATGGTTTTATATATATACATATATTTTTTATGTTTATATATATATATAATATATATACATATATATATATATATATATATATATATATATATATATATATATATATATATATATATATAGACACACACACACACACACACACACACACACATATATATATATATATATATATATATATATATATATATATATATATATATATATGTATAAGCTCTACTTGTCTTTGATTTTATACAATGCGTTTTGTGATATGTTGGTTGTTTGATTTGTTTTAAAATAAATTCGTCAGACATTTGGAGCTGAAATATGCCATATCTTCTTTGTTTATTTTACTTCTATATCATACCATATCTATGCTGTAGCATGAGAATTACAAAACTGAATCCACGTAAAATGTGTGATATAGACCTACAAATAATCGCTAATAATCATAAAGTCTAACTTGCCCTGAGCATGAGTAAGCGAGAATTAATTACTTCAGACTTCATTTTCATGTCACCATTCATAATTGTTCTGTCGCATATCATTTAATGCTGAGTTCAATAATGTATTAACTTAATTAATGATCATAACATTTGCTAAAATGAAAGTCAATATTCATGTTCGTGACTCGATCATTCGCGCAAAACAAAAGACACAGAAACTTTCACGAATAGTCTCTTTTGCCTGCAATTTTGTCGGTCGTGACGAGTTACAACATAAAACGCGATCATTACACACACTCATCCACGCAGAACAAATGACACTGTAAATATATATAAATCTTCATAAATAGGATTTGTTGTGTCGTCTCTCTTTGGCTTGTGATGGGTGACAATGACACAATTCGCATTTACATATTTTTTCTTTATCTCTGAAAACGACAATCGCTACAAGTAAATCCTTGTGGATTGCCACTGTCGTTTCCCTTATCCACTCTTATATCTACCTGAGACGATTCATAGCTCTAGCAGGTCTTTGTGGACAGCTATTTACGTCTCCCTATCTTATGTTCTTCATTAATAAAATAAAATAAACAAATAAATAAATATTAATAATTAAAGAACATTAAAAACTGCAAAATTCATAAAAGAAACCACCAGCTAGTAACACTTAATATCCCTCCCTCTCTTTTACTTTCTTTATCTCTTACTCTCTTGGCCCTTGAGATCCACCGTGGATATCTGACATGGTAGAGGAGGCCTAACTGCAGTATGGTCGCCTTGGATTGCCATGGGACGGACGTCGCCGGAAGATCACTGTAGGCCTGAGGACCATCGTTTGTGCAAGTATTAATAAGCCCAGGATGAAGTGGAAGGACACCCCCTGCCAGGACGGCCGTAGATCCAGCGAAGAACCAGGAACTCATCACAGCAGGCCCCAGGATGCTATAGAAGAGTGCCACCTGCCTGGACGCTGTAGATCCAGTCAAAATTCAAGGAGCTCATCAGCATAGGTATCAGCCGCCCTTAGATGCTGGGAAAGATGGCCCTGCCCCAACAACTGTAGATCCAGACGCAGATTGCGAGGACTTGTGGCCGAGCACGAAGCCGAGAAGGACCTGGGTGAGATCTGCGAGGACATGTGGACGAATACGCCGCCGAGTAACTCCTGGACGAGGATTACGAGAAAGTCTGGACGATCTGAAGCCGAGGATGACCAAGGCGAGACCTTTGAGGACGTGTGAACGTCGATGATGGAGGAATTCACTGAGGACCAAGAAGAGGCCGACAAGGAGGACCAACGTGAGGATGATCAAGGACATGAACGCGAGGACAAGGTGACCAGCGGATCGGGTCCAATGATAGGTCATCCTTGAGGCAAATCAAATGATGCCTCGAGGGCGAGGCGTGAGTAGAGTCAACAATATGCTCAAACCGGATGAGTTGGGCTTAGCACCTTGCAGCTGCCTTCCTTCCTGGCTTCCTTTGCCCAAACACTTTCTCCGCCTCAAGCGAACCCACCCCCTTGTCATGGCCGGATGTGCGGCACCCCACAAATCAAAAACAGGCACCCGGCAGCAGTAGTAGAATATAAGGACGTTTCAAGAAGCAGAAGGTCAGACCAGACCTAGCAGACAGAAGAAGCAGTCACAGGACAGGTGGTCACCTTCCACACTCGGGGCGCGGGGTCACTCTCAGGGGTCACACCTTTACCTTCTCGAATAAACCAAGCCAAGTCCCCTTTCATCCACCACCACCAATACGCTCCCTCCTTCACAACTGGTGGCTTAGCGGTGGAAGAACCTCACAACGTTCCTGTAAGAAGATAAGCTCCTGCTGAAGTGCCTCATCGCCTAAACGCCAGCCATCGCTACCAAGACTTTTTGATCCACGCCACCCACATCATGTATGCCACACTACTATGTTGACCACTCACCCCTGTGCTACATTCCCGACGAAGTCGCTGAAGATGAATTCCTGCACCCACTCTTGCCAACCGATTCACCTACCTCAAGTCTTCGCTAACCCTCGTCAACACAGCCATGGCGTCACACTTCTACCGTGTATCACTGATATTTCCTAGCTACTTTTAAGAGCAAGTGTAACTCTTTAGTGCCATAATAACTTACTACCCTCCTTAAACCCAGTCACACATTACATATAAGGTGCCTTTTCTTAACGAACATACTACTACTATTTCTATAATAACAAATTTCTGACTGTTAATGTTTTAACTTACACAAACTGAGGTCATTGTGACAACACTCACCTCACTCCCCCACCTCATTCCCAACCTTAACAATTCTTTTATTGACGCATATTGTTGTGTTATTTGAGTCTTTCAGACTATCGTATTACTGTTGTCTTCACATTGCATAATATCTTTTATTTTCTCAGAGCAAATAACAAGTTAAATTTATTCAATTATTGTAATGTTTCCGTTTTCCCAAGTATATTATTCATGCCTGTTGTTGCAAATTTACAGTTATCGTTTCCTTCACTTTATATGCTATGTTTATTAGTCGTTCCATCGTTCCTGCTTGCGTTTTCACTTTTCATTCTGTGAATTTATACATATGGTTGTGTCCCTTTGAAAATCACTCCTTTTACTTGCCGCGGTAATTGTTCGCTTATTCACACAGCCATGTCGATGACCGCTCTACACGGAATTCACTCTAGGATAATTTTGGACCAAGTACCATACGTTTTATAACTGATTCTAACTCACTTTAATGAGGTCTACTCTCAATATTCGATATCTTGTCGTTAGTACTGCTGGAATTTCTGCTTCCTTAGTTTAAGGTATTGGTGAATATGTAACTTGTAACTAACTTGATGGAGTCACAATCAGTTGCAATAGGGGTAATGCACTACAGACACCATGCTTTATATAGGCTATATTATCACCGCAATTTAGTTTTAAGATGTTATATCTACTACAAAGAAATCGCGCCCAGACTGTCTTGAATCTGCTACGAAGAAATGCGCCCGCTGAATGTTGTTACTCGCACTTACGTCTTGCTGCGCTCGTGATGCGCAGGTTTTATTCTTGCTGAGGCCAAGCCACCGCACTTTTTTTTTTTTTTTACAGCGCCGAGATGCTCACATTTACTTTAAGTTTAGACTAAGGTGCCTACATGTGTCCAAAGCATTATTACTAGCCTATTTAGCCCGAAGATATGGAATTCTCGCTCACTAAATTTTTCTCTACAAAATAATGGTACTCTTTTGAACTCACTAATCCTAACAGATCCTGAGTAATTAACACCTTCTCATGACATGTTGCCTTCTCATAACAAATGTTCTTATTACTTTCATTTTCTA